CTCCACCAGAGCAGTACTAACTCCAGAGATGGGAGTTCAAATCATTCCCACAGGGGTGAAAGGACCTCTTCCCAAAGGAACAGTAGGCTTATTATTGGGACGCAGCTCTTCTACTCTAAAAGGACTTATGATAAGTCCTGGGGTAATTGATCCCGATTATGAAGGTGAAATAAAAATTATAGCCAGTTCTCCAAAGGGTATATCAGTAATTTCACCAGGAGATAGAATAGCACAGTTACTAATAATACCCAGCCTACATGATAAATTTTCCAGTCGTACTGTAGAAAGAGGTTCCAAGGGATTAGGCTCCACAGGTGTAGATTGGGCTATGCTTTCTTTAAATTTAGATTCTCGCCCCATGCTAAAACTAAATATTCAAGGACATGAATTTAATGGGATACTGGATACAGGTGCAGACCTTAGCATCATCTCTCGTCAAGAATGGCCAAAACATTGGCCATTACAACAAGCCACTCAAACGCTTCAAGGCCTAGGAGTGGCAACTAATCCCCATAGAAGTGCAATGGTATTAGATTGGAAGGATCCTGAAGGATGTGAAGGAACTATACAGCCATATGTATTGGATCATCTTCCCGTAAATTTATGGGGACAAGATGTCCTAGATCAATTAGGTTTGACATTAACAAATAACATCAACCAAAATGCACCCACTATTATGACTAGACAAGGTTTTAGGAAAGGAAAAAGATTAGAAAAACAAGAACAAGGTATAGCAGCACCAATACAAATAGATCAAGGAACAGACAGACACGGGTTGGATTTTCAGAAAGGGCCACTGAGACAATAAAAATTACTTGGAAATCAGAAAGACCAGTATGGGTTCCTCAGTGGCCCCTGACTAAAGAAAAGATACAAGCAGCCCATGACCTGGTCAAACAACAATTAGAGGAAGGACATATACAACCTTCTGTATCACCCCATAATACTCCCATTTTTGTCATCAAAAAGAAATCTGGTAAATGGAGATTATTGCAAGATTTAAGAGCCATTAATAATGAGATGGTTATTATGGGACCTGCTCAATCGGGGATTCCTCAGTTGTCTGCTTTGCCAAAAACCTGGTATGTTTTAGTTATAGATATTAAAGATTGTTTTTTTTCAATTCCAATTCATCCTGAGGATAGTCCACGTTTTGCATTTACTATCCCTGCACTGAATCATGAAGGTCCTGATCAGAGATATGAATGGAAAGTACTCCCTCAAGGGATGGCTAACAGCCCAACTATGTGTCAAATTTATGTTAACAAAGTAATCCAGCCACTTAGAAATCAAAATCCTGAACTACAAATATTTCACTATATGGATGATGTATTATTAGCACACAACGATAAAAACACATTGCTAGAATGTTATGCCACACTTACAAACTTATTAAAAAATTATAATCTAGAGATAGCAATAGATAAAGTACAATTAAATTTTCCAATTAATTATTTAGGAGTTCTATTATCCTCAACCATGGTCCATCCACCAAAAATTCAAATACGAGTAGATCAACTCAAATCACTTAATGACTTTCAAAAGTTATTAGGAGACATAAATTGGATAAGGCCTTATTTAGGTATACCAACAGGAGAGTTGGGACCTTTATTTGATATCCTAAAAGGTCCATCAGATCCAAATTCACCCCGAATGTTAACGCCTGAAGCAAGAAAGGCATTAAAAATCATTGAAACATATATGGAAAATATGCATTTGGATAGAATTGATATAAGTTTGCCTTTATTATTTATTGTACTACCAACAAAAAATATTCCTACAGGAGTATTTTGGCAAGAAGGTCCATTATTATGGATACATTTATCTTATTCTCCTAACACTATTCTTACTAGGTATCCTGAGGCTGTAGGACAATTAATACTCAAAGGAATAAAAGCAGCAAAGGGAGTGTTTGGAATTTCTCCCAATAAAATTATTACTACATATACTATGAATCAAATTGATGAGTTAGCTAATGAGTTAAATACTTGGGCAATAATCATGTGCAAATCTAATGTTTCATTTGATAACCACTTACCATCTAATCCTTTATTGTCTTTTTGGTCATTGCATCCTGTAATTTTTCCAAAAATGACAAGAAAAACACCTATCATGAATGCTCCAAATATATTCACTGATGGGTCAAATAATGGTACAGCAGCAATAGTTACACCTGATTAAACTTTTACATTTTTAGTACCCAAACAATCAGCTCAAAAGGTAGAGCTTAATGCAGTTTTACAAGCTTTTGTGATGTTTAAAGATTCTGTATTTAATTTATTTTCTGATAGTCAGTATGTAGTTAATGCTATAGTATCTCTTGAAGATGCTGGTAGGATTTCCCCTTCTTCTACTGTTTTCTCTTTGCTTTCCACTATACAAAGTCTAATCTTGGACAGAAAAGATCCGTTCTTTATAGGACATATCAGGGCACATACAGGATTGCCTGGAGCCCTTAGTTTGGGCAATGATTTAGCAGATAAAACTACACATGACATACATATTTTCTCTACACTAGAAGAAGCTATAAATTTTCATAAAAAGTTCCATGTCAATGCTAATACTTTACAAAAGCGTTTTAAAATAACTAAGGAACAAGCTAGACAAATAATAAAACAATGTCAAAATTGTGTGACCTTTTTACCACAAGTTAATCTTGGAGTCAATCCTAGAGGATTGATACCTAACCATATTTGGCAGATGGACGTCACACACTTGCCAGAATTTGGAAAATTAAAATATTTGCATGTTACAGTTGATACTTCTTCTGGATTTTTGATGGGCTCCCTTCATGCCGGAGAAAAATCTAAAGATATTATAGCTCATTGCTTACAAAATTTTGCCACTTTGGGTGTTCCAAAACAGTTAAAAACAGATAATGCCCCTGGTTATACTTCTACCTCTTTTAAACAATTTTGCTCAACATTTGGCATTACTCATATAACAGGAATCCCATACAATCCACAGGGACAAGGCATAGTTGAAAGAGCTCATCAAACTATTAAAATGTACTTATTAAAGCAAAAAGAAGGAATTGGGAAGGGGTATATATTCCCCAAAGATAAACTTAAAATAACCCTTTTTACTCTAAACTTTTTAAATTTGGATTTATCAAGACTTAGTGCTGCGGAAAGGCATATGTGTCCAAAAAATGTGCATAAGCCCAAGGTACTTTGGAAGGATATTCTAACAGGACAATGGAAAGGTCCTGACCCAGTAATTGTCTGGAGTCGGGGGTCTGTTTGTGTGTTTCCACAGGGAGAACAGCAGCCGATTTGGATTCCAGAAAGATTAACTAAAGCGATTTCTACAGACCAAAAAGAAGATGATTTGGCTCAAATCCATAACAACTGATATCCAAAACTCCAGTTTGGCTATTCTTACATCTGCAACAGAACCAGGATGCTTTTTTCAATATCTATTTTATTATTGCCCTTTGCCATATCATGAAGTTCTATTCTGTTTTTTGAGCTCATACAGACCTAGGTTAATGTTTTGCTGATCAGTTCTATTTTTTGACTATAGAGTTTTTAAACATTGCAATGGAGATTTCACCTGTAAAAAGTTATAAGGCCTTTACTATAATGTTATGTGTTGTATGTATTATATTATGTGTGCACATTTGTGTTTTGTGTTATATGTTTGAATGTACGTATGTCCATATATCATATATGATGAGCGCTCATGATAAAATGGATCCAAATTTTTTTTTCACGTGATTTATATGGTTTAATTTAAATTGGGTAAACAACTGTTGAGGATTGTTTTAATATGTAAACAAAAAAGAAGGTTAACAGATCTGTTTGTTTACTTTCACCTTTCCTTTTCATTATATTTAATAATTCTCTTAAAGATAATGAAAATTGTTAAGAAAATTGTTTTCTTTTAGTGCCTTCTGTAATGTTACATAATTTTTTCTTTAGCCATTATTGCCAGAATTCCTATCTTCATCCCAGTGCTGGTGAAGTCAAAGATAAAACCAATCTACAGCTTCTACAATAGCCATCACTGAACTGCTTGCAGAACTTGCCTGGACACATTGTGAGCTCACCTGTAACTATCTGTTGGTGCAGCGACTTGTGGTAGTGTTGGGGTATTTTTGCTGATGATGTCATTGGTGGTACAATTGTTTCCAAAAGGAGCCGTCAATTGGCTTGGTGTATCTTCCTCCCTTCTGCTTGTCATGATCGTCCAGCTAAAATTTGGGGGCCAACAGAGGTGAGGCAAAGAACCTCACCCCCCCGCTGGTACAAAGACCTCTCCACAGGTGTGGCTGTATACTGGACTGGTAGTCAGTGACGGGTAAGATCCAATTGCAATGGTACCAACCTAAGGACCATATGTACTATTGGACAACCTAAGGCAGGCACGGTCCCTAAGCCACATGCTTATTGTTTAAACAGAGAGGGGGAGATGATGAGAGCCACAGACTGCGGGGCCCCAGCAAACTTCCAGCTGCCAGCAAACTTCCAGCTGCCGGCTGATGATTGGCTCACAGCGGCCCCAGCAACATCTAGCTGATTGGCTCCTCTGCGGTGATGCTCATTGGGCTGTTTCCCTGCCCTTTCAGACCACGGAGCTGCTCATTGGGGGACTTTTTTGGCTCCGCCCACGTGACCCAGCCAATCAGCCTCAAGAGCAGGAGGATTGTGGGAGGTGGAGAGAAGCTTGGGGGGGGAGAGAGAGGCTTGTGGAAAGCCGGTGGTGGCAGTTGAGGCTCTGAGGGTTTTTCCTGAGAGGCTGTTTTGTTTGGCGTGTGTGGTTCTAAAAATAAAGTTAGTTTCTTTTGACAAGTGGCTCCTGATTGTGCCCAGCCAGACTGTGGCATTATTTTATGTATTAAGCAAGTTTGTGGTTCCCTTAAGTTCTTGGTGCTGTGATATTCAATATTATTTAGGCATTGAGTGACTAGGTATTTATTCCAGTCTTTCTAATCTGGCTTTTTTTTTGTACCTATCCCAGAAATTCAGGTAGGTTGTTTATGCACTCTTATCCTATGGAATTTTTTGCTATTTAAAAAGTAGATGGCTCCCTAAGTCCATATTTGCCACAAGTCTGTTGCTAAGTGTTTTTTTTTTTTTTTTTTTTTTTTTTTGCACTAAAGCATGCCCCTAGCCTAAGTTCGTCCCAAATTTGTAACTGATATGTTTTTCAGAATACACTGTATCTACAAAAGAGTAATTTTTCCCCAAAAGCTTATCCTCAGTGTCAGGTTAGGCCCAGACACCTCATTCAGAGTTAGCAGCCCATGGTCAGGTACCAGAGATTCTGTTTATCTCTGGGCCTCACTATGGTTGGAGTGGCCCCAAGCTCTTGGTCAACAACTTATCATGTCCCTACTTTTCCTTATCTCAAGCAGACAATTATTCTTTCCATCTTGTGCTGCCTTAGGTTGGATGCGAAGTCTCCTGGCCTTCATTGTTGCAATCCTGAGTCACACTTGGAAGCCATAACTTGAGAAGGCCTGTTCAGTGCAGTACTAGAAAAGGACCAAGACCCAAGCATGTATAATGTACATGAGCCTAAGGTAAACTCACAGCATGAGATTGTTGTAAATAGGCACAAGTGATACTGGATAAAATAAAAACACAATTGTTTTGTATGTGCAGGCAGATATGAAGGGTCTATTTATGGGTACTGGCCTGGAGAGAGTGACCATTAGTAATTCCTCAGTATTAGGTTTCTCTATTCTGCCACTCAGTTCTAAGGTTAAGTACTATGCTCATTTTCATGCTCATTTTATTTCCATATGCCCAGCAGGTGGTTTTGACCTGTACTGTGCTGCCAGAGGTTGAGGAGTGATGGTGGAGGCAGTCCTTTGCTACATGGCTAAACAGATCCAGAGGATCAGTCTGTAAGTACTGATTTGAGACGTGGGCCATGGAGCTGTGTCCACTATGGGGTTTCACCACAGCGGGGCTAATATGAGATTTCAAGACAAATTTTCAAACCTGGCTTCAAGTCTAAGGCTTAGGACTTTCATTCTCTTTCCTTCCCCTAATGGGAAGCCATCTTTCCATACTGTAGTGCTTGGGACTGGGGGAAGAGTAACACAGGTAACTCAGTATTCTTAAATGTGTATTTTCTGATTATTTTACTGAAAGCAGATACTGCAATCTCCAGCATGACTTCTTTTAATACTTATGAGGAGAGATTGGTGCATGAATAGCTGTTCAAATTTATGTCTCTGTGGAGAGAAAATTGCTGGAAAGTTTTACTCTGCTTTATTTGGCTCCACCCCTGATTTCAATTTTATTAAAATGAATAGAAGCTGTAATAATTCCCATAAGTAACTCATTTTATTTCCATATCTTTGATCTACATTGATATTGTATTCAGTAATTCTTATAGATTATTAAACTGGCCAACATCAATAGATGATCAGTATCTGATTTGCCATTATTTTACATATGGATATATATTATTTTATGTGTGATTACAGACTTTAAAATTTTCTCACTAAGCTTTTAATGATGTCTTTAGAGAGATTGTGATCATTTTATTATTTTTGGTGAGTGTAATTGTAGAATTGCTGTTTCAGACTTTCTTAGATTATTTTTGTGACAGAAAAAGTTATAAAAATTCTGGTAATTTTTTTTCATAAAGTAATGTTAAAATTTTGCCAAAAAAGGTAGTAATTAGATCATGATACCATATTTGTAATATTTTATGCAGAAGTTATATTTAGGTACTTTCAAAGGGTGGTGCTCTCTTTCTCCTGCATTATGCTGTCCTGAAACATCAGAATATGCAAAATGCCAAAAATCCTTGATATAATTATTTGTATGGTATTAAGTAGTAAATATTTTAGGTGACCATAAAAATTTGAAAATTTAATGTAGATCAGATTTCCCCTTCCATTTTCTACTTTTCTCCTTCAGATATATATCGTCTCTCATTTTAAATGGCTGCCATCAAAACAGAGGTGAGGTGAAATTAATTTTAATTGAGATTTATGAGTTATGTTACTTCTTTATAGAAAAGTGCCTCTTGATATTTAATAGTTGTATACCATATAAAAGAATTTGAAAACTTTCAGTTTAGAGCCCATGCAGATTTTCCATGGAGTTTCATATCCAATATCATCTTAAGCCTTTAAAGAAACAATTTAAGGTAGATGGATATGTTTATGAATATTTTGTAATAACAACATAAGGTAGATGGATATGTTTATGAATATTTTGTAATAACATCAAGCAAGAAAAGTCTTAATTGAAATGTAAAAACTATACAGTTTATATAATCAATACAAAATATATCTAACTAAATATTCAAGTACATTTTATAATGTATTCGAGTACAATTTAACATTTCCAAATCATCACTCAGTTGATTTCTGTCAATACCAAGCACATTAATAGACCAATTTAAAACTGCATTGAAGAAGTTATGTTCATGAAAATGGTGGAATTAAGATTATCAGAACTTGTGTCTTCCATAAAAGCAATGAGAATTCCTGCAAAGATTGTCAGAATTGAATTTTTAGAATTTTGGCTATTGACTGAAGGCTTATTTTTGGAATATATTCTATTTCCTTGAACTTAGTATTTTTCCTGGGCTAGTACTCCACCATTTAATTACTGTAGGACTACAGTACATTTTGTTTTTGTCATGGTTCATCTGAATGTATTATTCATATTGAAATGTCCTTGGATTTTGATTAGATTTACATTAAGTTGAATTAAATGCAGGGATTATTCTCAAGAGAATTAATATCTTTATAGTATTAGATTTCCTCACAGAAAGAATAAATGCCCTCATATTTACTTTGGTCTTTTACACTCTTCTGCAATGTTTTATATAACTTTCTTGATAAAGATTTGCATAGTTAGAATATGTTTTATTGTGCATACTGTTTAAAAGAAAAAAATTATAATTTTCATCATATTTGCAATTTGATTTTGCTAATATATGAAAAACTGTATTTTATGGATCTATTTTTTATAGATTTGGTTATCTTTTTCCTTTTTTTCTATTTACTATTTTTTTCTGAAAATATTTATTTTGCTTTATTTTTCTGACTAATATTCTTATCTCTTATTTCCTTAAGTAACACACTATGTACAATCTCCAAATTGACATTCAGTCACTAAGGTGACTAGATGAATACAAAAAAAACAAACTGTATTTCTCCTACAATGTTCTCACATCATGTTTTTGACACCAGGTATGTGAGACTCATTCTATATGAAGCAAGAAATTCTGCAGCTGTGGCCACCAGCTAGGCGCCCTCTAAATCAGTTCAGTTATGGCATTCCTTATTTGGAGATAACATTGAACCTATGGGTTGAGGACTCAGTTATTAAGACTGCATTTCCCCTTCAGACACCTTAGGTTGTTTTCTTGTGCTTCTGACCCACTGGTTATTCATGAGGGTTCCTATAGCACCACCCTCAGACATGATTAATTTGTTAAAATGGCTCATAAAACTCAGGAAAATATCTACTTATGTTTATTGGTTTATTGTAAAAGAAATTACAAAGCATACAGATAAAAACATGCTTAAGGCAAGGCATGTGGCAAAGCAGAGAGAGCTTCCATGCCCTCTTCTTGCACCCCAGCCTCCAAGAACCTTCACATGTTTGACTATCCAGAAGCTCATTGGACCCTGTCCTTTTGGGTTTTTATGGTGGCTTCAATATGTAGGCATTGCTCATTAAATTATTGACCATTGGTGATTCAACCCTCCAATCCTGACTTGGTTTCTCTCATGCCTAGGTTCAATCCTGAAGCTACCTTGGGACCACCAGCTATCAAACAACTCATGAGCATACAAAAAGACATTTGTCACATTGAAAATTTCAAGGATTTTAGGAGTTGTATACCAAGAAACTGGACTAAGATCAAATATAGTTTTCACAATATTATATTGAAGCATTTTTTTATTGATACATTTGATATGATTCATTCACAGAATGGTAATGTGGCATAGGCTTATGGCAGTCTATAAAAAACATCTCATCCTGCCCTCTAAAATTCCACATGTAAGAATGGGAACAAGAGTAATTTTTAGAAATTTGCTTAATTTCACACATCTCATGCATGTCATAATTTCTGGAAAAGTTTTCTCCTTGGAAAGTCTTACCTGACTTTCTTTAAAATCCGATAGTATGTCCAATGGTCTCACCTTGCTTTCTCAAAAACTTGTTATTTGATTTACACTCTGCTCAAGCTTTCCTGAAACACAAGCACACATAGCAGAGTCCTCACTCTCCACCTTTGAACTCAGTACTCAGCATGGCTAAGGAAAATAAACAAATAAAACTGAATAGCGTATTCTTCACTCTGGCTGGGAAGTCACTACATGCATTTTTATATAACATGTATAAGACTGCATACATAAACTAGTTCACTGATATTCAGATCATGTAAAAATGTCAAATAAATTCCCCTCTGGTGTATTTTCAATTTAAAACAAATTCAAAAAAATTTGATTTGCATTAGTCTAGTTTTTCTTGGAGTCTGGCTTGGTCAAGATGACATTGCCATTTCATTGAAATAGATAATTTGATTGCAGAAAGCCTTTTTTTTTTCTTTTGGAAGATGAGTCTAATGAGTTTTGAAGTTTCAGAAGACAATGTTCTCTCTGCACCTGTGTGAATGTTTTGTCGGAATCAATTATGGAGTATGTAATTATATGGATATTGAATAATTAGTGCAAAACTCATTGGAAATGCCAAAGTTAAACAAGTTCTCTCTTGCATGTGAAGACAGTTGCTCTAATGGGTCAAGTTTCATTAGCTAATGCTGCCAGTCACACAAAGAGATAGTCTGGCGATATTTATACATCATGGATCATGAGTCAAACACCTTTCCAATTCATCTGAGTCACTTTTCGCTGTGACAGAAAACATGTTCTCCAAGGTCCTTAGCAGTTTCTTTCAGCAATTATGCAGCATGATGAGTCCTTGCAGTCATGATGGCTACATCTCTATTCTATCAGACATCTTTATTAAATGAGTTTATTATTATGCTCATGATTCCCCTGGGTGAACAAAATCTAAGAAAAATAACTATAGTAAAATAGTTCCCCATATGAGAGACCATGTTTTTATCTATTAATTTTGAGCTGGAAAATGCAAACACAAGGAAGAAAAGCATATATTCTTTTGTTTTTGTCCTCCTATATGTCATTTTCTAATCAATGAAGATCTAAATATTTTCAATAATGTCCCAGTAGAATATAAATTACATAGGAATAGAGACATTATCTCTACTTCTGTTCACCAATGCATCTCCATGACTCAAGTATAGTTTGTCTGAAGAAGCAGGTGCTCATATCATACAAATATCAGAAAAAAAATGCAGGGACAGTATTATCATGAATGTTAAGTGAATGTCATGCCCCAAATCATGTCTTTATAAGGTCTAATGAAAATTCTCACTTTATATCTCTGAAAAAAGTAATTAGGCTCTCTGAAAATTTATCACTGTCCTCAAATATGTATGAAATGTCTGATCTTTGTGAACATTTCTAAGAAAGATTCCTTTTGCCTAGTTCATGTTAGTCTTTGTGACATACTATATATATATATATATATATATATATATATATATATATATATATATATATATAGTAATTTGAATGTCCCTAAAGAGAAAATTAGAAAAATGAGCCCAAACAAAATAGTTCTTGAGTTACTCACCCTACCATAAAAACATTATTTTATGTTTTTCTAATATCTATGTAGAATTTCGAGAAATACAAATTCGAAAATGGAAGCAGAAAAGAGACAAGAGTCATCATCGTGGAAAATAATTTTACTTCATAGATATAAGGACTTAAAATTATTTGCTTTTTCCACTGAAAGCTGCTTCATTAACATTATAGTCCATAAATTTTAGCCTGTATTTTATCTGTCTTAGCACTCCTTGAATAGATTGATGAGTAGGGACTGGACTTTGAGAATGGAATGTAGCACTAAGAATTATCAGTAAGGCTGAGGGTACAGATCAGTGATAAAGCATGTTCTAGGTGTGCACAAGTCTCTGTGTTCAATTCCAATCATATATGCACAAACAACAGAGAGAGGGAGAGAAAGAGAGAGAGAGAGAGAGACAGAGAGAGAGAGAGAAGTTTCAGTGGATAAATTTCCATTATTAAGGTAGAAAGAAATACCCTCAGCCCTTTCCATGATTCTGATACATAAACACAAAGACATTTATGTGGGGCTGGGGATGTGGCTCAATGTAGCGTGCTCACCTGGCATGTGTGCGACCCGGGTTCGACCCTCAGCATCACATACAAACAAAGATGTTGTGTCCGCCGAAAACTAAAAAAGAAATATTAAAATTCTCTCTCTCTCTCTCTCTCTCTCTCTCTCTCTCTCTCATTCTCTCTTAAAAAAAAAGACATTTATGTGGTTTCCAACATATATGAAACCTAGGAAAGTGGTAAATAATGTGTTGCTATTTGTGAACTTTTGCTGCCTATAACAAAACAGTGAATTTTTAATAATAATAAAATGTACATCTGGATGTTAGGTTTAATGTCAAAATACTGATTTCTTTAAAAATATCATTTCTATATTTTATCATTATACCTAGTAAAATAAGAGGTCTTTCCTTTTTTCCATGCCCTCGGGACTCCTATGGGAAACACATTTTAGATTTACCTTTTCTCTTAATCCTTTATAAATATTTTTTTTCCTATTACTTCTGCTCTCAGACTTGGAATATTCTGAGTTGTCAACAACATAAGACCATTGTTACTCACCTATTTAACTTTATAGATAGGATACTATATGCTAAAGCATGCAAATTTTAGTTTTCAGATTCTTGCTTTGAATTTGCTTACTCATTTTATCCCTTTTTCCCAGCACAGTACTTGGATAAGAAAGTGAATAGAGGTATTTTGAGTAAAGACATTCAAGAAAAACAATGTCCTGGCTCTCTTGGTCAAAGTTTGAATAGAATCTATGAGCCAAAGATTAAAAGCATTGTAGCTGCACTATGGAGGTTAGAATTTCTGTCAGTTGCTCTATTTTCTCAGCATTATTAGCTTATAACCTTAATAATTTCCTCTGAGAAGACATCTTTTAGCACCATTGAATTTAACTATATAAAGTTCAAAGATTGTCATTGATTCGACTAGTTATTATCTGTTAAGAGGTTTAGGTAAGTGAGATTTATGCAAAGAAATCCCACTCTGCTTTCATTCACATTGGTAATCATGGTACATTATCTGATGTTAAATGTCTTTATTGAGTTTCTCTAAAATTATTAGCTGTTGAAGACATATGTAGGTATCTATTTAGCATACACCATATATCAGAACAGTCCTTGGCTGATATAAATTTAAATATCATGGAAGATTTTAAGGGTTTTTATTGCAACTGGATCCATGGATATGTTAAAGTTTTCTTTAAAATGCCAAACCCAAGAAATTGTAAGAGAGGGTGGTTGTGGCAAAATGAAATCTTTTTGTGTTAATTCTCATATACATATCTCATTGCCTTTCAGGGTTTATTTAGGATGGTGACACAAATAGCTCTTGGACCTTTAAAGGCATGCTTGTCCAGTCCTCTGTTTATCTGACAAATTTGTCAATTAAATATTAATGCCACTAACACTATTTGATAAAGTTCACTAATACGTAAAATTGTAAGACAATAGGGAAGAAACTTCACTGGTAACTATATAGAAAGTTCAGCTCTTTGACCAGTCCTGCATGGTTAGATCAGTGGATCTTGGACAATCTGCAGTCACTGCAGAGTGTGACATCTTAGACAGGGTTAGGTGTTTCAGAGGTTCAGAGTATCAGTTTTGCATAGAAGTCTATTCAGGGTCACTCAATTCACAGATGCCATGCACTATCTAAGTTTGTCATGAATGGCTCCCTTAGCTTTGTGCAGTACAAAACTGTACCATCACGCCAAGCAATCAGGTATGCTTTGATTTGAATCTTAAAATGTCCCCCAAAGACCATATATTGAAGGCTTAATTGCCATCTGTGACACTATTGGGAGATGGTAGAACTTTTTTTTTTTTAATTTTTTATTGTGGGTTGTTCAAAACATTACAAATCTCTTGACATATCATATTCCACACTTTGATTCAAGTGGGTTATGAACTCCCACCATCACCCCATACACAGATTGCAGAATCACATCAGTTACACATCCATTGATTTACATATTGCCATACTAGTGTCTGTTGTGCTCTGCTGCCTTTCCCATCCTCCACCCTCCCCCCTCCCCACCTCTCCCCTCCCCTCCCCTCCTCTCTCTCTACCCCCTCCACTGTATAACCCTGAGGGTCTCCTTCCATTACCATGCAATTTCCCTTCTCTCTCCCTTTCCCTCCCACCTCTCATCCCTGTTAAATGTTAATCTTCTTCTCCTGCTCTTCCTCCCTACTCTGATCTTAGTTACTCTCCTTATATCAAAGAAGACATTTGGCATTTGTTTTTTAGGGATTGGCTAGCTTCACTTAGCATAATCTGCTCTAATGCCATCCATTTCCCTGTAAATTCTATGATTTTGTCATTTTTTAATGCAGAGTAATACTCCATTGTGTATAAATGCCACATTTTTTTTATCCATTCATCTATTGAAGGGCATCTAGGTTGGTTCCACAGTCTTGCTATTGTGAACTGTGCTGCTATGAACATCGATGTAGCAGTGTCCCTGTAGCATGCTCTTTTTAGGTCTTTAGGGAATAGACCAAGAAGGGGAATAGCTGGGTCAAATGGTGGCTCCATTCCCAGCTTTCCAAGAAATCTCCATACTGCTTTCCAAATTGGCTGCACCAATCTGCAGTCCCACCAACAATGTACAAGTGTACCCTTTTCCCCACATCCTCGTCAGCACTTGTTGTTGTTTGACTTCCTAATGGCTGCCAATCTTACTGGAGTGAGATGGTATCTTAGGGTGGTTTTGATTTGCATTTCTCTGACTGCTAGAGATGGTGAGCATTTTTTCATGTACTTGTTGATTGACTGTATGTCCTCCTCTGAGAAGTGTCTGTTCAGGTCCTTGGCCCATTTGTTGATTGGGTTGTTTGTTCTCTTATTGTCTAATTTTTTGAGTTCTTTGTATACTCTGGATATTAGGGCTTTATCTGAAGTGTGAGGAGTAAAGATTTGTTCCCAGGGTGTAGGCTCCCTATTTACCTATCTTATTGTTTCTTTTGCTGAGAAAAAACTTTTTAGTTTGAGTAAGTCCCATTTGTTGATTCTAGTTATTAACTTTTGTGCTATGGGTGTCCTATTGAGGAATTTGGAGCCCGACCCCACCGACTGTAGATCGTAGCCAACTTTTTCTTCTATCAGACGGCGCGTCTCTGATTTGATATCAAGCTCCTTGATCCATTTTGAATTCACTTTTGTGCATGGCGAGAGAAAGGGATTCAGTTTCATTTTGTTGCATATGGATTTCCAGTTTTCCCAGCACCATTTGTTGAAGATGCTATCCTTCCTCCATTGCATGCTTTTAGCCCCTTTATCAAATATAAGATAGTTGTAGTTTTGTGGATTGGTTTCTGTGTCCTCTATTCTGTACCATTGGTCCACCCTCCTGTTTTGGTACCAGTACCATGCTGTTTTTGTTACTATTGCTCTGTAGTATAGTTTGAAGTCTGGTATCGCTATACCACCTGATTCACACTTCCTGCTTAGCATTGTTTTTGCTATTCTGGGTCTTTTATTTTTCCATATGAATTTCATGATTGCTTTCTCTATTTCTACAAGAAATGCTGTTGGGATTTTGATTGGCATTGCATTAAACCTATAGAGAACTTTTGGTAATATCGCCATTTTGATGATGTTAGTTCTGCCTATCCATGAACAGGGTATATTTTTCCATCTTCTAAGATCTTCTTCTATTTCTCTCTTTAGGGTTCTGTAGTTTTCATTGTATAAGTCTTTCACCTCTTTTGTTAGGTTGATTCCCAAGTATTTTATTTTTTTTGAAGATATTTTGAATGGAGTGGTTGTCCTCATTTCCATTTCAGAGGATTTGTCGCTGATATACAGGAATGCCTTTGATTTATGCTTGTTGATTTTATATCCTGCCACTTTGCTGAATTCATTTATTAGCTCTAATAGTTTCTTTGTAGAGCCTTTTGGGTCTGCTAGGTATAGAATCATATCATCTGCAAATAGTGATAATTTAAGTTCTTCTTTTCCTATTTTTATGCCTTTAATTTCTTTCGTCTGTCTAATTGCTCTGGCCAGTGTTTCGAGAATTATGTTGAACCGAAGTGGAGAGAGAGGGCATCCCTGTCTTGTTCCAGATTTTAGAGGGAATGCCTTCAGTTTTTCTCCATTCAGAATGATGCTAGCCTGAGGCTTAGCATAGATTGCTTTTACAATATTGAGGTATGTTCCTGTTATCCCTAGTTTTTCTAGAGTTTTGAACATAAAGGGATGCTGTACTTTGTCGAATGCTTTTTCCGCATCTATGGAGATGATCATATGGTTCT